CTCAGCTGACTTGCTACCTAGATACATATGCTTAAACTGCCTCTTCTGGGTTCCTACCAGAAAACCCCTGTGGATTATAGACATTTCATCTGAGAACTAATACAAAGTTTCAAAAACATATATTTCTTTTATACATGAGTAACTTATAAAGCCATTATTTAAAAAAAGCAACATTCTGTAGAAACTGCTATTTGCATGATTTTGCCCACTGGTCCACTCTGGGCAATAGAGTCTGGGCCTGCAAGTTTTTGAGGGATCCATTCACTTGAGCAAATTGTATGTAGAAACATGTGGAGAATTTAGGACTTTAAAAGATAATACAGACTTTTAAAATTTATTCTTTCATCCTTTATTCATTGATTTTATTCAATCATTAGTTCATCAAGTATTTATTCAGCAAGTATGCAGGGAGCTTGTACCATGTGTCGAGTACTAATCTGCTCTTTGGAGGTTCGTGGAAAAAGACATTCATGGTCCTTGTTCACATGGCACTTAGACGGTAGTGAAGGAAGATACATCATAAATAAGAAAACAAATGAATGAACAAGCCATGTTATGTAGTTATAAATGCTACAAATATAATGAAACAAAATAGTGTGATAGTGAGTCACAAAATGCACATGTGCACGAGGAGTCCCAGGACTTTTGGACAAGATTATCAGGGAAAAGCCTTTTTAAGACGGTAATATTTGAGGTGAGAACTGAGGAGCAGAAGAAGACAGAAATTTAAAGATCTGTAGATAGCAAGGTTCTGAACAGGGTTTTTGACTTGACATGATGAAGAACAGAAAGATGGCTTAAGGGGCTAGATATGCCCTCTCCATCAAAAGCCATTAGCCACGTGAGGCTATTTAAATTTAAATTAATTAAAACACAAAACTCAGTGGCTCAGCGGTGCGAGCTATGTTTCGAGTGTTCAGCAACTCACATGTGTTTTTTAGTGGCTATCGCATTTGACAATCAAGAGTATATTTCCATCACTGAAGAATGTTTTAATGGACAGTATTGCAGGAGTGAAGTAGGAGAATTGGAATAGAAAAGGTCACAGAGCATGGCTTGGAAAGATCAGAACGGTCCTTGTAGGCTGCTGTGAGGACTTTGGGTTCTACAAGTTCAATGGGAAACCATTGGAAGGTTTTAAGCAGAGAGTGACGTCTTTTGATTTACATTTTAGAACTATTCCTTAGGCTGCTGTGTAGGAAATAAATGGTAGGAGAGCAAGGTCAGTTAGAAAGTTATTGCAGTTGTCCCATCTAGGGATAAGGATGTATTTTTGGTTGGTTGTTATAAGAGGGATGGTAAAAAGTAGATGGACTCAGGATATATTTTAGAGATAGAATCAAATAGACTTGCTAATAGACTGGAAGCAAAGCAAGGTAAACAGAAAGAGGAATTGAGGGCAATGCCCTCTTTCGGGGCCTAAGTAACTAGGTAGGTTGTTATGTGTTTTTTTGTGGAGTGGGGAGAACTGAGGAGAAATAATTTGGGTGTGTGTAGGGGTTGGTGGTGGAAGAGCGGAGAGGGAGTTAGACGTTAAGAATTTAGTTTTGGGGACATTATATTTTAGGCACCCTTTGGATATACATGTCTAGAAGTCAGGTTGGTGGTGGAGAATGAGTGAACTCATACTACAAAGTGTAAAGTTTTTTGAATTTAATGGTAGAATTCTCTTAAGCATAACTATATTTGACAAAGTGCAAATTATATGCAATGGCGTTAATTTCTAGATCCTCTTTACAGAGTACTAAGGAACACACATTTTCTAGATTGGGCTAAGTAGGGAGCTTTACTAAGTCATTTGAATTTCTTTCCATTTCCACATTCTATTTTTCTTTGCATGCCATATTTTTTTTTATCTGTTTGCAATGTTGTCACCTTCTTAAATTAGGGCTCATCAGTATCTGTAGAAAATGGGTAGTTATTATTTGATTGCTCATCGTCCACTTTATATATTGGATCTTATTTCATTCAGTATGCTTCATACAATGTTAGTCACATCTTTGTTAGAATAGCTTTCTCTGTCTAAGAGCACTTTCTTATTTTTGTTCTTCTGCTTCCAGGTTCTGAATGGTGATGGGGGAGGGTGGAATCTACCTCATTTCCTTTTGGTGGGACAAATCACTTTCTGCTTGTAATTTTTGCTGAGAATGGGGAGAAAGCCAGATGATAGGACATTGCCTCTGTAATCCTATTGAGCACCTCAAGGATGTTATTGTGTAATATACTGACCTAGTATTTTTGTTTTGCTTCCATTAACAAATGCCATTCTTATGTTTTGGTACAATTTTTTAATGTCTTCATTTAATCTCTTGCAAGTTCAATTTATGGTTGATTTTTTTTTTTCCCTAAAGAACTGAGATAATTGTGAAGGTTGGGGACAAAGAAAATTGAAATATTGATCCTCTCCCACTGTATCTTTCTTTCTGATGTTGATATATGTACAGATTTTTAGTTTTTTTAATATTCTATTTTTTATGCCAATGCATATGAGCATATTGGCATTTTCCAATCAAAGCTTTTTTTTTTTTCCTTTTTTTTACTCTGAAGCGTCTCAGGTAGGCTCTAGCATATGAATCATATGTCTAAAAAGGAAACTCAAAAAAGTATGTGTGCATACTAGGGGGCTCATTTGTCTTTGGCAAAGACATTGCTGCTCCTGTTTCCTTAATTATTAAACAGATGGTGCTCACTGCTGTTGACTAGCTACCCAACTAGTTTTCCATGTGGTAGCACAGTTTTGGACATCTGATGGGAGATGCTGTATCATCACAGCTCCTCATATCTGTTTATGTCATAATATTAATACTAATACCTGCCTCTAACTAGAGGAAGCTGTTTCCCACGAAGCTAAGTTTAAGCTTAAGTCATCTTCTCTCCTAACCCCATGAATTAATTTAACCTTAAGAATCTCCTTTGGCTTTTTAAAAAATATTGTTTCATATCTACATACAAAATACAGTGACATATTGAACAAGTTATCTAAATACTCCAGGCTATAAACGCTCTTAAATCTGGAATGTCAAGACAATTAAAACAAAATTGATTATTGATATTGTTATTATTGAGGGCAAATGACATCTAAGGTAGTCATATTAAAAATGAACAAGAGTGAACTCTCATGTTCTTGTTCTACGTGTAAAAGGAAACTAGCCCCAATATTGATGGATTTAAAAAGTCTATTGAACAGATTACTGAATTATTTTCATAATCTGCTAAAAAAAAGTTAGCTTTAACATTTTCCTTTGGTTTCTCAATACTACATTACTACGGTACATGAGCAATGCACTCTATAAACATTAATAAGTAGAGTCCAAGTTTTTTCTCATAATCTTTCTTTATGGTAGATATAGTATTTCACAACCCTACACAGTCTTCTGAGACCATTCTTTCCTTGTATTAACCTACCTGTCCTCACCAACTCCCCTTGAGATTTCTTTGTAGTACTGACTATTTGGGCTTCCTAACTTTGTAAACCTTCTCGAGGCTAGGGTCACTAAATCTCAGTGTAATTTACCATCCACCACCACCAACTGTTGACTAATACTCTCTCATACGCTGGATTTTTTTTTTAAAGTAACAATAAAAAAAAAAAAAAGAATGCCCCTCCCCCGTTCTCTTTTATAATGCTAATATGGTGTAACTTGCTGAGATTTTCCACTATTTGAACCAGCAGGAAAGACTTGGGATCTCTGCTGAAAAACAAGACCTTGAAGCTGTAACTGTCTTGAGAACCTAGGAGCATCTTTGAATGACTCAGACAGATGTGGCTGTCATCTTTAATGACAGTAGGAAGTATGTCGTTCCCATCGCCTGCCAATTAGCCACGCACAGCCTTCTTTTCCAACGTCCTAGAAAGCTCAGTCTGGGGGCCAGCCGCAGAACCGCGCACCCCAAAGCTGCGGCGGGCTGGGCGGTGAACCCCCTGCAGCAATCCTTTCTCCAGGGTGCTGGAGGTGCGAGCCCCACTCCGGGAAGAGGAGAGAGGGAGCTGAGAGCAGCGCCTCCTCCGGGGAAGGGGGCGGGAGCTAGGCTGGGAAAGCGTTCCTAGGGAGTTGCCTTAAAGAAAGAAAGCGGAATTGCCGATCACTCCAGTTGCCTGTTTGTTGTTTTTTTTTCTTCAAATACTGTTTTAACCGGTGATCTCCACTCGCTTCCCTCTGCAAAGCTGCCAATTACCAACCTCGCAATGAAAAGAAAAGAGGTGGGGGGGAGGAAGAGAGTAAATCTCATTCTCCCTTCTCACCTTCCCTTTCCTCTCACCCTCCCTTCCTCTCCAGCTCGCTCGCTCTCCCTCCCTCCCTTCTCTGGCGGCAGCCTCTCGTCTCTCGGATTGTGTGTCTCTCCGACGGGACTTAGCAACTTGGTTATTTCTCAGCCCCCTTCCCATATTTACCACCCTTTGCCATGAACTGGACCGACAGACGCAGGGGAGGCTTTGCTTTCTGCCCCTGGGAATGGCAGTTTGCTTCCTGGGGCCGTGCGGTGGAGGATCGGCCGAGGAGAAAGAAAGAGTGATAGAGAAAGAGCTGCAGGAAGGAAGAGAAAGGGGACCTACTTCTGCCGCGGGCCGGGCACGCAGCAGCGCCGCGCTGAGCTGCGCCCGAGATGGCCCCGAGCCTGCCCTTCGCCCCTGGCTCCTCCAGCGTGTGCGGCTCCACTGTGCCCGACGCTTTGGGCAACCTTTAAAATCCTGAAGTAGGAAGAGACCCCAGAGGGTATCAGTCGGGGTGGGGGTGGAGCAGGGAATTTTTAAAAGCGTTTCAAAGTGGGAAAAGGAGGACGTGTGTTTCTGCCTGGCTAGTTTTTAACTTGAAGGCGTCTTGTTGGAGCATCTAGTATTCTCCAGGAGTTATTCGAAAGCTGAAACTTTCAGTGGTTCGTTAGCCTGGGCAGAGAAGAAGGTATTCCGAGGGTGCTACTGGGAAAACCGAGGGTGTGTGTGTGTTGTGGTCGGGGCGTGGGAGGGGGAACTTGGGGAGTCCGTGAAGAGGGCACACACCATGGCAGTGCCCGGCGAGGTCGCCCGAATCAATGACAAACCCGGCCAAGGTGGGGCGAGTCCAACGCCCACCGCGGGCCCGGACTGCCGGGGTGGCGCTGGCCCCTCATCGCTGCGGGACTCCAACTGCCGAGGCTGCTGGGGAGACCTGGTGCTGCAACCGCTCCGGCGCTCCCGGAAACTTTCCTCGGCGCTGTGCGCGGGCTCCCTGTCCTTTCTGCTGGCGCTGCTGGTCAGGCTGGTCCGCGGAGAGATCGGCTGCGACCTGGAACAGAGTAAGGAGGCGGCGGCGGAGGAGGAGGAGGAAGCGCCCCCGGGAGCAGAAGGGGGCGTCTTCCCCGGGCCTCGGGGAGGTGCTCCCGGGGGCGGCGCGCCGCTCAGCCCCTGGCTGCAGCCCACGGCGCTGCTCTTCAGTCTCCTGTGTGCCTTCTTCTGGATGGGCTTGTACCTCCTGCGTGCAGGGGTGAGCCTGCCTCTGGCCGTCGCGCTGCTGGCCGCCTGCTGCGGCGGGGAAGCGCTAGTCCAGATAGGGCTGGGCGTCGGGGAAGATCACTTACTCTCTCTCCCGGCCGCAGGGGTGGTGCTCAGCTGCTTGGCCGCCGCGACATGGCTGGTGCTGAGGCTGAGGCTGGGCGTCCTCATGATCGCCTTGACTAGCTCGGTCAGGACCGTGTCCCTCATTTCCTTAGAGAGATTCAACATTGCCTGGAGACCTTACCTGGCGTACTTGGCCGGCGTGCTGGGGATTCTCCTGGCCAGGTACGTGGAGCAAATCTTGCCGCAGTCCGCGGAGGCGGCCACGAGGGAGCATTTTGGGTCCCAGCTAACTGCTGGGACCAGGGAAGATATCCCGGTGTTAAAAAGGAGGAGGCGGTCCAGCTCCGTGGTGTCCGCCGAGATGTCGGGCTGCAGCAGCAAGTCCCATCGGAGGACCTCCCTGCCTTGCATACCGAGGGAACAGGTAAGCACTGGCGGGTCCCTTCTCTCGCCTCTTGGGAAAACTCGAAACATTTGGGAACGCTCGAAGTAAAGGGAATCCGAGCGCTGGGAACTAAAGGAAAGATAGCCTAGAAAAGTGGTTTAACTTCAGACAGCAGAAAAGTATAAAGTTTTTCTCCGTCTCTCAGGCAGTATTTTATAACCCGAACAAGAGGAACACTTTTAAGAAATAAAACTAGGTGGCATTTGCATGCAGGGTCTTCCACAGCTGCGCCAGCTTTTTAGCTCTGCTACACCTGGTGTATGGCTTCCCTACACTTTTAAGTACACTCATACTTTTCTGCTTTAGCAGGAATTTTCTAATTAAGTTTAGTATTTGAGCTATGGGTGATTTTCTTTAACACGTGGATTTTACTAGATTTCTTTCTATTTCTTTTTATTGAATTTTAATTTCTAAAGTGACAGATAAACATTTATGGAAATCAGAAAAAAAGATTCTAAAGTAAATCAGGGAGTGTTTGAAGGTGATGTATTGATACACACACTTTCCGGTTTTGCAGCAAGTTTTACTTGAAGAGACTGCATCTGGTGGTACCCAGTTTGTTTTTAAATGTAGTCTGAGGACATATGTTATTACATGGTAATGTGTTTTGTATCATAATTATAAACTTAAATTTGGGTGAACTTCAGAATTTATTAAAATCGTGAACTGTGCTGTTAGAGTCAACTAAAAAAAATTTTCTCCTTAGTACTTACATACGTAGATATTTAGGAATTCACATAGACTTATACAGGTTATATAGGAAGCACTAATTCAGGATGACATTTCTAAGATTAATAGTGATATACATTTTTCAGAAAAAAGAGGGGGAGGAATATAGAATTGCGAATGGAGTTGTCGTAGATAAAGTTTAGTGATTTTGGGAAATGAATCTCACTATCATTAAGCTTTTTAAAACCATGGACTATAGTTGCTATAATGGGCATAAAAGAACAAATCCAATTTTAAATTTATATTGTATCTGAAAAGGTGCACTTGAGTGTTTACCTCTCTATTCCAAGCAGATTTGACACTTGGGGTGCGAGTCAGGGAAGCTGGTTATGGACAACAAGTGGACATTTACACTTTTCCCACTTAAATTTGTGCCTGTTTATGGCACCATTAGGACAACTTTAGAGAGCGAGAGGCTATCCTGAGATATAGGAAGCTTTTTCTTTTTCGGTTACTCTGTGGATAATCATTTAGGTATTTCTAAGAAATAGCAGTCACCATATGGTGTGGGTGGCTAGTTTGTTTCTGAAATGGGGTTGATTACACAGACTGGGATTGTTTGACATTATTTAGCAGAATGGATGCCAGCATCATAGCCTCTGTGTTTATTTTAAAACAAATGTACTTATTTAGCTGTTCGTTAGGATACAGCAAATATTTTGTGGGTTTAAGCATGAAAGTGATGTTTTCAAAGTGAAGCTTTAAGAGTCAAGTTAAAAACAGGGCACTGACTGATACTTAGTTTTGGTAGAAATTTTGAAATCACCAGAATAAAGTAAGCTACATTTAAGATAATTTAATTTAAAGCAATCAGGGGAAAACACATTTTTCCCTGTTACAGGAGAGAATGTCTTTGAAATGAAACTACTACTCGCTTACATATGTTTAGAACACACTTTTCTTTATCTTATAGGGAAATGCGATATGATCATTGCAAAATTGAATCATAAGGCAAATCTGTGATTTAATTATAAATATCGTAACTTGCTCCCAAATTAATATCATTTGGCCTCTAAAATTAAATTTATGAAATTCCACATTTACTTTTAGAAGATAAGGAGTTAAGGGTAGATTTAAGATAAGAAGGTGTTCAGGTGAATTACCATCAGTGTTAATTAACCCACAGATTTTAATGGGTTATCTCTGGTTTAAATGGATAAATAGAAAATTTGAACAATCTGAAAACTTACAAGAAAACAACGGAGCATTGCATTTTTAAAGTGCTTTGCTGATTAATGTTGTTGAAAATGCATATTTGTAATCTGTTTTTGTCATTTTCTTTGGATGCTATGTTTTTAAATTTGTGTTTGTGAAGAATATTCCAAAGTGAGAGATTTTTATCTCCATGGTTTGAAAGAAAAACAAGGTTACACTTAGCAGAAATTTAGATCCCTGATGTTTTAATGAGGGCATGGGTGAGTGTGTTACATATTACCGATGACTAGTTTTTATATATGACGCATTAAAGTTGTGGCTGAGCATAATTGTTTAGGGAGGTGGCAGCCACCATGGAACAATATTTTATGAGATAGGGCGATATCTCATTCGTTAGCATAACTGAAGTGTTCAGGAGCAATATAGTAAATGGCTTATCTGTTTTCTCATAAGGAAACAGTCTTCTGGTTAAGGGTGCAAAGTGTACCACTGTCATCTGCATGCTTTACCAGGAATCAAAATAGTTGTCAAGCACCTATGTAACACTCTGAATGCTACCTGATTAGGAGTTCTTTTCTGAAAGAATGTCTACTCCCAACTCAAGACAATACTCACGCAACAAGTGAATTGTAGATAGAGGTGTCAAGACAAAGCACAGACAGTCTGGCAGAGGCCTCTTGAAAACTTACTTGGACTTTGCTCCTTGCGAGGTTTAAAGGTGAGAGAATTCCAGCCTTTTCTTTTCCACATGAATGATAGTGGCCACTTGCTTATGAACTATGTCTCTTCAGTGACTCAATTCTAGAAGGTCAAGAGAGTAGATGATAACATTGTCATAAGACAAACCAACTGAGAGATATGTCCTTCCTCCCTCCCTCCTGTCCTTTTTTTCTTTCCTGAATCATAATCATATAAGATTGAATATTACACATGGAATTGAGTTTTATAGCATTGATGATGAAGATGAGTTCCAGCAAAGAAAGGAGACATACGTCTAGTCTTCAGTCATTGAATTAATCCAACACTGGGTGGGTCTGAATGCGAGTGAAGGTATCTTTACTCTCAGTAAAGAAGAGACAAAGTTTTAACATTCATGTGGCTTTTAGTTCAGCCCTGTCAGCCCAGAATCCTTAAAACTTAGGGTGGTTTTGTGGATCAGTGTGTTCAGTTGTACTTTTTTGTTTGGCAGTGTGGAGAGGGCAGGTGTTTCCCTTAAGGTGTATGTATCTTTTCTAAGTAGATGTTCACATCCAAGACTAGGCATGTCTCTCTCAAGTTACCACTGTACCCTCCAAACACTGGAATATAGAGGTATCTAGAATTTCTTGTGTTATTAGATATTATAAGATTAATAATACATGTGATATTTTTCTATATAACATTTCAATTATGCAGTTTTCCTGGGAATTGTATTTAAAGGGGTGTCTCCATTTTTGTTTTTTAAAAAATATTTTATTTATTTGTTTTTAGAGAGAGGTGAAGAGAGGGAGAGAGGGAGAGAAACAGGGCTTGGTGGCCTCTTGCATGCTCCCAACCATGGACCTGGCCTGCAACCCGGGCATGTGCCCTGACAGGGAATTGAACTGGAGACCTTTTGGTGCTCAGGCTGGCACTCAATCCAATAAGCCACACCAACCAGGGCCTATTCTCTTTATTCACCAAAGAACAAAATCGGCTAGTCATTCCTCTCTAATTACTGTGACTACCTTACACATTCATTTTTGAAAGATTCTAAGCCAATGCCATTTTATTCAGTTACATAGTAAAAATAATTTAATATTTTTGCCTATGGTTTCACATAAAATAAACACAGGGCATATGCCTCTCTTCATTAATGCATTTGTACCACTTAATTACATATTTTGTTGGGATGGGTACAATATCAGTCAGAAATGTGCACCTATATATATTTATATTATGTAATTAAAAAATCAAAATCATTTTCCATGAGTATTTCCCTAAACCTCTCAATTAAACATCTTTGGCAAAAATGACTTTTGTAGGAATGTGATGAAGTCTGGTGGTTGATTATCAAAGGTAGAATCAAGTTTTTCATCACCGACATAAGAAAGATATTTTCAAGCAAACAGAAACAGTAAAACAAAAATAGAAGTAGGTATGGTTTTTGATGGTAGACTTATGGTAGGCCTTGTTATGTGTTGGTAAAAAGTGTAACTTGTGTTCATAGTACAGTTATGAGATACCGAAGTATACTTTTGAAAAGGTAAAATATATTGTCCTTAAAATTCCTAAATGCATTTTAGCATAACATATATCTCAAATTGAATAAATTTCAGAAGCAATTATGGTTTTTAATTAAATTCTAGGTCTGTCACATTTCAGTAGTATAACTCAGCTGATACAAAGAACAATATTGATTATTTATGACCTGTTGACAGAATTAAAATTAATTAATGTCAGCTTCTGTAAATATTAAAAAGGAAAAACAAGATTTTCTTATCCCTGGGGAAAGGTGAAGGGAAAGAATTTTTTTGTGTGTGTATGAGGACAAAATTGTGATTTTACTTTGTGAATACATATATTTAAAGCATACTGAAAAACTGTTTTAACTGACAGAAATAGTTAGTGAATCTATATAAATTTACAGAGGTTAGGAGCAGTCAAACAGTAATTTTACTCTTTCTGTATTGAGTCTAAAGTGTAAAAAGTTAAAACTGTAGAACTGAAAGAAATGCTGTGTATGCTGGGCTGTCATGTTAATTAAATAAACAACCAGAACAGTGACTCTGTGTATGAAATACATTTTGAAAAGCCTGGGGGAGGGGATGCAGGCTGGCCAGGGTGAGTGACACTGGCATGAAAAAACATTCATTATATCTGTAGTGACGTTTGTATGAATTTGCTGTATTCTATTAGGAATACAGCCCTGAGAGTGATCTCTTTAGGACTCTAGTTGAGTGAGGGCTGTACCACTTTTAATTTCACTTCCATGTTAAGTAAGTTCTTAGTTATTATATTGGAGTGAGATGTTTATGAACCTCAAAATTAGAAATAGGCATATATATTATATTTTAAGATTTCTATTTAACATGGTGTGTGCCAGTAACAGCCCAGTAGAGTCTATGTAGACTTCA